CTTTTTAAAATAGGATCTGAATCATCCACATATATTCTTTTAGTATACAGACCCCCAGGACCATATGCTAAATTTGGTCAACTGCCCTCTGACTTACAGTAGTTATTAATTTAGAAAAAGTGGTAATATTAGGCGACTTTAACAGACATATCGACATAGAGACAGATGCTTTCAGTAAAAACGTATTGTCCCTCCATAGGTTGTAGTCAGCATATAACAGGACCAACACGTGTACAATCATACACTAGACTTATTACTCTGATATTCATCATATATTAGTCGATCCCATGGATAACTTTTTCTGACCACTTTTTAATTACTTTTGAGATTTGACTACCCTCTGTAGTTGCCAAGGAGAAGATTATTTTGACATGGCAGCTCTGTAGGGGTACTTCTTTCAAATTTATGAACGCGATGAATAATGTCAACTTCATCTCCAGTACTCATTTTGACAAAATCACACAAAACTATAATATAGTGGTCAGACAGGCCCTTCATGAAATAGGTCACAGCACTGACACTGTATTAACAAGAATTGTAAATGATATTCTGTTTGCAGCTGACGCAGGGAATGCATCGGGGCTTGTGTTCCTAAATCTTAGTGCTGCCTTTGAAACAGTTGACCATTGCATTTTGCTACACAGGCTTGAGTCTGAGGTTGGCCTACAGTATGTGGAACCATCCTTAAGTGGTTTACCTCCTATTTAACTAACAGTTTTCACTAAGTTCAAACATCTAATATCCGTACTGCTTCATCACTGTCACCAGTGAAATTTGGGGTACCACAGGAATCGGTGCTCGGACCAGTATTGTTCTCTCTCTACATGTTGCCACTAGGTAGGATAATACGAAAGCATAATATTAACTTTCATTCCTATGCTCCTATGCTGATGGCACTCAAATATACATTTAATTTACAACTAATGACAACTCATCAATTGTCTCTTTAGCTAATTGCATTAATGAAGTAAAGTCTTGGATGTGTGAAAACTTTTTGTCACTCAACTCTGATAAAACTGAGGTTCTGTTGTTTGGAGACAACAGTGCGGATAGGACTGCTATAACCTGCTATAACAATTTTGCCTCAAAGATTTGGGATGTAACTTTGGTGTCATCTTACACACAAGGCTCTCATTTAACTCTCATGTTAATGCAGAATCGAAGGCATGCCTCCTAAAGTTAAGAAACATTGCAAAACTAAGGTTTTTCTTTCTACTCAAGACACAGAAACTAATACATGTGTTTGTATACAGCAAATTAGATTACTGTAATGCCCTACTATCAGGGAGCACCTATCGCGCCTTCAACACCTTACAGCGAATTCAAAACGCGGCAGCTAGAATTGTTACCAGGAGTAGAAAGTACGACCACATAACATCTATACTTAGCTCTCTCCATTGGCTTTCTGTTGGGCTCAAGGTAGACTTCAAAATTATTTTACATATAAGGATCTCAGAGGACAGGCACCTGTGTATTTAATGGACCTGATTAATGTATACAATCCAATTTGCCCACTTAGATCACAGAACGCAGGTCTTCTTATTCCACATATTAATAAATAACAGCTGGTGGTAAAGCCTACAGGGTAGAGCTACAGTGCCTCAAGTGTATGGAATAGCCTACTTACGGGATGCTGATTTAAATCCAGACTGAAAAACTATAACTTCAGCCTAACCTTCTCACATCTTGCATCATAGTTCATCGTAACCATGACTGCTGGTGCTGCTGTACATGCCATTGTGCATCTTAGTGCTGGCCTTCCAGGTAGATACATCTATCCTGACCAAACTATTCTATTCTCCTCCCCACATGTCTGGATGGTGCCTGAGCTGGGCACCATCTGAGTTGGATGCTTCATCACAAGCATGGATCCAAAAGGGACATAGCGAATACAGCTATCGTTTAGGAGGATTAGCTGGTCTACAGAGATCTGCATGGAGTACTGGCACACAAAAGGACCTGACAGAATACCTAATACTCCACATTTAATACTTTTTTTTAGAATTGTATAATCTTAGCATGCCCTGAGGGGGTTGGGCAGCCAGTTGACCTTGGACCCCTAGAGGTTTTTTTTTCTCCTTACAGAGGAGTTTTTGTTTCTTCTCCTCTGTCTTCTGGCTTTTTCTTTTTCTCTTTCTGTATTGTAATGTCATGTATTTTCACAGCTTTATTAAGTGCCTTGGGGCAACCTTGTTGTGAAAGGCCCTATTTAAAAAGAAATTGAATTGAATACATGGATATAGGTAGAACTATTGTTTTAATGGCAGATGGCCCAATCACATACTAGCTCTGAGACACATGACAGTGCAAGATTTGCAAATATTCCGTTATATGGGCACAGGTCATTACTGTGATACCATGAAGATAAAATTTTAAATGAGGAGTTTATTTAACATTACACAGTACAGAAACTGTTTGATCAGGAGAACTACACCAGGTTTCTCCAATGCATTCTCTCGTTTAGTCCGTTACTCAGGATTAGCTGTATTGGTGGTACCTAAGAGTTAAAAGAGGCAGCATAGGACATAAAAAGTAAACTTCCTGGCATTGATCGTTTATCTCCTGACTTTTACCTTCTGTGTTACCAGTTAAGTCCTTTATTGCTTGACATGATACATTGTACCATTGAGGAAGGTTGTTTTTGGAAAGATGTTAATACAGCTGTTAAATCCTTATTATTGGGGGAAAAAAAGATAAAAAGCTGACATTTTGTCTGGACTATTATCCTGTCTCACTGATTTCATCAGACACCAAGTTGTATGATAAGATGCTTTCATGCCAGCTAGAGGTTTGTATGAACAAATTAAGTTCCCCATGGTCAGACAGGCTTTATTAAAGGGCATTTAGCTTCTGATAACTTTCACTGTTTTTAGTGAATATTATACCTAAGCCTACAGACTCTATCTCACCCAGTGCTTATCTGTCATTAGATGCATAGGAGGCTTTTGTTAAATTTGATTGGCAATAGTTATAGGTGGTTATGAATTACAGTGGTTTTGGAATTTGTTTAAAAATGTCTAAACTTATGTTTATGCTTTAGCAACAGCGCTGTTAGACGGCAATTGTTCCCAAGTTGCTATATCAGGGATACTTTTCAGAGACGTTTACTTTCAGTTTTGCAATTTGCCTCTTCTTTGAAAGCTTTGAAACAACCTGTTTGTCAATCTACTACTTTTAACCCTATTATTGTTCATAATGCTCAACATTGCTATTAAAGTCAAGTCTATGGAGAGTCTAGCAGTCAACTTGACACTTATATTCTAGACAGTCTACAGATGCCAAGAAACTAGGATCACATCTTCTAGTTTAAGCCTGGCCAGTATTTGGATGGGAGACCTCCTGGGAAAGCTGACATTGCTGCTGGAAGAGATGTTGGTGGGACCAATAGTGAGTGCTCACCCTGCAGTCTGTGTGGGTCCTATTGCTAGTATAGTGATGGGGATACCATACTGTAAAAGGGCACTGTCCTTTGAATGAGATGTAAAACTGATGTCTTGACTCTCTGTGGTCATTAAATAAATCCAGGGTGTTTCTCGAAAAGACTAGGGGCGTTACCCAATGTCCTAGACATATACCCCCCTGGCCTTTACCAGTCATAGTCCCCTAATAATCCCCATCTATGAACTGGCTATATTACTCTATTCTCCCCACAGAACTGATGTGTGGTGAGCGTACTGTCGCACTTTGGCTGCCATCTTATTATCCCGGTGGGTGGTACACATTGATAATGGTGGAGGGGAGTCCCCATTACCCATCCAGTGCGTCAACAAAACCATTACCTTTATTATTCATTATTGACCATCTCCATATGATCGACCAGTTTTCTAAAACCTGTCAATTCAGATGCAATTTCAACTTTTCACACTTCTCCTGGTGTTCATCAATTCCTTTGGATACTTTCTCACCTGCCATGATGCTACTTCTCATTCTTTTTTTCCTACTCATTTTTTATACCCATTCATTCTTTCCTCTTCTCAAAAAGCCAGTGAAGGCTTAACAGCTGATTTTTTTTCTGCTTTACAGAAGACATCTGAACTCGGTAAAAATGCTCCACAGAATGTATAATGTTAGCTATACAGATACATAAGATACAGGTAAAGAAGTTTTAAAAAAATGGTCCTCAGCATAAACACAAACGTTGCTATACCCCTGATCAAATGAGTTCAAAGTGCAATCATTATTCATTGATCATAAAATTTGTGCTAGAATAGATTATTTTTGTAATGTTTTGCATTTCAAGGCAGTATAAATAATGAATCAAGCATCTTAAATCAAGCCAAGTTCTATCCACATCACAGACAGCATCTGTACTGGGTCCTTAACAGTGATAGACATAATGACTTACTGTTTGTGTCTCATTTTCCATATTTATACACATTGGGCCCTGTGAATGCTAACACAAGTATCAAAAATAACAAAGGACAATAATAGAGAACTGTTTGGATCTCATGTTGACGGTTTTTTGCTGAAAAATAGTTGTAAAATAAGAGAAACACATTCTGATCCTTCTGTGTAGTCCACCTGTGGAACCTCTTTCTTGTTTTCTATCACCATGAAGCCATAAGGTGGGTTATTAAAAATGTAACAAATGAGTATTAGCACCAATAGCATTTGTTGTGTTTATAATCCCTCTTAGTTCATAAAACATGGAAAAACACTGCAGATGCATTCCATGAAAAGGCTGAATCATTTCCACGTCTAAATTTTATGATTATCTAGTAACAGTAAACCTTTGACCCTCGTGGCATCACAGGTTTTATGATCATAAGCCCTCATGGGATACTACTTGTAAAACTATCTCGGACGAAAACTTAAAAGAAACATAGCATGAAAAAGTCACTCAAGCCTTCATAAATGCAAACTTTGGCATCTATGTGTAGCTTCCCTCTGCCTTCAATGAAATGTATATGTAAATTTCCTTTGGCTCTGTATTCTCTAGAGGAAATATATCAAAGTATAATGCTTCATTTCTCTCATTCATATTAACACACTTCAAGACATTTTCCATTTCTGAGTTTTTTTATTTTTTCCCCAATGAATCACAAAACTCAAATACATAGTTAACTTTATGGATCACTATCCATCATGTTGTCTTGAAGCCTGCAAGATCATAAAGGAATCTTAAAATTGTCTTGACTTAACCAATTAAGTTGCCTTTAACGAACAAAAGAGATGTTTGCACAACCTCTATTCTATAAACTAAAAAGCAGAGTGCTTTCACTTAAATAAAGAGCCCAGCATTGCTGGATATTTGACAAACAGCAGAATTGACTTTTTAGGTGTTTCTACTGAATTATTGTATGTTGCATGTGCAATATTCTGCTGCTTTGTTTTACTTGGAAATTGAGCTTTTCTTAAATAAGCCTCATATTTGTAGAAAGAAGGTATAATGCATGGCAGAAATATACCGCAGACTTCTGTCTGTGTTATCGTACAGAAACTGGTGGGGTACTGCTAAAAGATATGACATACAGTATATATACACTTTCTATATCTTTTGATGGACGTTTGCACAAAACTCTTAACACTTACAATACATAGTATTGTACACCATTTTCATCAAATAAACAAATAATAGTGTAAGGATTCAATAATAAATAGTACAGTTTTTTAGAGCCATTAAATTAAAAATAGATTTAAATACACACCATTTACAGAAGCAGAGTGAATGTTTAATGCATCAAATTTACCCTTCAGGCAGTGAGGCAGCACATGTAGCACATGTTCAATGATGCCCTACAGCTAGAGCGTGACAGACAACTTTTGGTATTAGAATGATATACATAAGTAATATGGGGCACAGAGTCATGCTATCTGCAGACTGAAGTAGGTGTAGAAAAATCTTGAATTACCAAAGACTTTCGGAAGAAAAATTAATATACTATCAACTTTGACTAATTTAGCATTATCCATACAGAATATGGGGTTCTTTGTAGATGGAAATATATCTGAAAAAAATCTCACTTTCAAATGAAACAGCAAAATTCTAGTCTCCAAGTATAGGCATATAAACATATAAATCTGCCTTTTCCTATGACAAAATATATGGTAATTTAATTTAAATAAGAATTTATGGTCTCAATACAATGGTTTGAGAGTTAAGACTCACCTAAAAAGTCATTTCTGCACACAATCGCTTGTCAAGTTCAGTAGCATTACCATGGTTACAAGACAGAAATAAAAAACGAAATAAAAAGAAAATAAACATACTTATTATAAATAAAACTACTTACGGCAGTTTACATGGCAGCACAAGTGCTAGATACAACATGGGCCTGAAATACTCTAGTTAAAACAGACAAAGAAAATGTGACAAACTATAAAACACTTGATAATAACATAAGACCAAACAGTGTGAAGTCAAATTAGTCTTTGTGGAGTTATAGCATAAACAGCAGTTGTTTAGGTGCAACCAAAGTACAGCTAGAAAACTATTCACATAGTGAATATACACTAAGCCTAATAAATGCCCAATTTTCCAACAGTGATTTGCTTAATAAATATATTTTTGCATTTAAAATATATATCTATTTCATGTGCATTAGTATGCTTTATTTACTATACTAAAATCATGTCTTAAAATCAGTTACTGTTCTCTACAGAAAAACAATTAAAGAAATGTACTACAGTAATGTGAAACAACTATAACCCCAATTATATTTTTTATAAGAACAGAATTATCAATGTTTCTGTACTTGGAATGTTATTCTACATTTTGCATTGATATGTTGCAAGACATAATACTATGTTAGAAAACAAAAATGAAGTTTCAACCAGAAGTTAAGACTTGGGTTTGCTTTTTCTTTAATGCTATAAACATCCCTATACTAGAAGCTCTGATGTTTAATTTCCTGAAACTGTCACTGATAAACATACTATGTAAAAAAACAGATATAGAGGCACCTAATATTTAAACTTGAATGATGATTTCGTCATACAGATCTTTGCTTTAAAGCTAAGAAAAAATGGTTAGCTAAAAGCAATTATCTAAAGAGTGAAGTTGTTGCTGCAAAAGTATACTTATGATATTTTTGGTATACCAGAAGTAATATAATAAATGAATAACACTACCCCTTAAAACATATATAATGGTTTTCTGGAGTTTTCCATATATGACCAGGCTTTTAGATGTCCGATTCCTTACTAGACTGCCCGTGTTCATTTCAAAATCAACAAAATCAAATGTTTTAAAATGTTAAGTGAAATTTCAGTTAATTTATTGGCAGAAGATTAAGCACCAATAATGCACCATAACTATTTTATTTTTGTTTTCCTCTGTTGTTTTTAATAAGGTAATAGCTACAACCATACCTTTTATTTTTATTTGTACAGTACACTGTACCACTGATTTGTGTATTTACGGGTGAATGTTCAAGTTACATTTTATCACAAAACGTAATTTGAAGAGACCGCTTAAGTCACTTGTTTATTGATTCGGCTTAACTGCACGGGAACAACAGAAGATTTTAAACTCCAGCTTTCTCCTCAATTCCTCTTGCAAAAAGCTTTATCAGTTGGCAGTGAACTCTGCAAAGACAAAACGAGAATTCCAACATTTTTATGAAAGCATAATACTTTAAGCATAGTACTAAAAACAGACAATAATAAAGATAATAAATGCTACTGCTTTCAAGAAGTACCATTTTCTAATTATTGAATTAACTGCAGAGGCATGAAGAGCAACTCATTTCACAACTGCTTTTTGGCTCATCTGTCCAACCATCAGTTATCGTAACTTCAAAGCATGTTTGCCGACTCACTTCAAGAACAAGTACTGCACAGAAAATTACAATAAATAAATGGATTTTTACTTAATTAAAAGAGAATAAGCATAAGCAGTGAAAGAGCAAGCAAATTAAGTACACAACACATGCATCACTGACCCAGCACAATTTACTTATTAGTTATAATGATACAACACTCCAATTCCACAATACAGAGTCATACTAAACATTTTAATTTTACTAATACAGTAAAATCTGTTTTTACTGTAGTCAGATTTTGTTGTTAACCTTTTAATGTAACAGAAACAATTATAATGCAAGGAAAAGCAAAACACCCCACAGATATAGCTCAGTAGATACGTCTTCATTCTGACATGTATGGTCTTCAGACATTTAAAAATTGAAATGTCCACTAAATATTATTATAATAAATTCCTAATTATTATGGAAACAGATGTTTGTGATCTCTTTGGTTAGCACACAGAGCTGCAGTACCACTAACAGCAGCCTATATGGCACTGTTGTTCTAGAAACCCTGGCAGCTGCTCTGGTGGCTTTTATGATTCATCTTATGATTAAATGTAGAGATTTGCCTCCAATTACAGGTCTCAGGTTTGTGTCTTTTTTTAAATTCTAATACTAATTTAGTGACAGGCCTAACACAGTCCAAGAGGGGATATGATTAGCAAACATTAAATATTGTGCAAGCCCACACATACGGCAGTATTCAAATATTAGCTTTTTTTTCAACAAGTGAAGATCTAGAACACATTGGTTCTGTCCACACAAAGGTTCAAAACATTTGTTAGCAACACACCAGCTACCAGCCACTCCTCAGCTGAAAATATTTTTTGCCAAAAAGCTTTCGTACCATGTTCACTTTCTAAAGTTATACAAAATCAAGCTCTCCCACTGCAAAAAGAAATAAGTGTTCCGTCTTTTAGTGCCTGAAACTAAGATTTGTGTATACTAGTAAAAAATCAGACAATATCTGAAACAACAACATCTTTTGATATAGAATATTCTGAATTACATATAGTATACTTTTATCTGTCACTGATAGGAGCCTAAGATTAACTTGAACATGGTAAAATGTGAAACATTACAAATTCAGTAATTGGACTGTCATACCCCACTTCGACTGCAGCATGATCCAAAATTTCTCCATCACAATTCCAGTTGCTATTAACTGAAGTACAGCTACATGCTGGGTGGTCCCTGCAGATCTGGCTAAAGAGCTTCTTTCTCACATCCTTCACATCAGTGTCTTCACTCTCACAGTATTTTGGTGTGAACTTGAATTTTCTGACTCTGTGTACTTCAATGAAGGTAAGGTCAAACTGTAAAGAGGATGAAAGGATTTTCAGTTAAGGTGCAATTTTCAAAAGGAATTCAATGTACTTAAAGTATTCTCCTGCTGAAAATGAAGAACAAAATGGGTTCTTTATTTGGAAAACCTTCTCATTCTTCAATTTTTAAAATCATGCAGCTCAGTATTGTCAGAGTACCAAAATGCCTGTTCACATGTCCTGCATTGATCTACTATTTATCCAAGTCTTTTTATGTTTTCATTCAAGGAAACACACAATACTGCACTTTCACTGAAAAAGATACAAGTGAATCTGTGATGCACAGCTTTCAGAAATGTGACAAGACTATGGATAAAAGACAAAAACTAAGGAAAAGCCAGATAAATCCAAGCACAGCACTACAATACTGGTAGATACACTTTTTTCTTTTGACCTCTGTCTCTTATGATGCAGGGAATCATGTTAGAACTTAGAGGGATACTTGTGTATTTTGGTTTTATGTGCAGGGTTTCCTCAAGATTCTTCACGCTATTATTGGTATATATTGTATAGTACACTGCAGATTTATTTATATGTCCATTGAATTGGAACAAAAACAAACAAAGATTTACAAAATGTATAGTGTTCTGCTGAAAAATACTGAAAATACTGAAGTCATACTACAATCTAAATAGAATTGCTCAAAGCAAAGTTATATCTGTCAAATGTCCAGAAAACATTAAATGTTCATCAGGCACAGACTATTTTCATTCTTTTTCACCTGTAAGTATGCTATGAGGTTTTTTGGTACTTTTGAAGGGTTTTTTTATCATTCCTATAAGGACAATTGCTCTGTGGTCTTTGGTTTCTGTTTGGGAACTACATTCTTGTTTGAACGAGAATTGTTCAATTGGATTGAGGTCTGGAAATTGAGATGGCCAGTCAGGAACATTTATTTTCAGTGCAGTTTACCATTTCTGTGTCAATGTGGATGCATGCATTGAGTCAGACTTAAGCTTGGCCACATTTAAGCTGGCCAAGCATGCTTAAATGTCGTTAAGCATTACAGTATCATAAGGGCTCCAGAATCCATCCAATCAATAAAAACCCGAAACAGATAAACCAGATTTCACAATGGGCACTGTTCTAACAACATAAGCCTTAACTGTTTATGCTAAACAAAATGCTGATGAGCAGCAACCCAGCCATGAATACCATACTAATGCAGATGACGTTGAATAATAAGAACTGTTTTTGTTGGCTAGCTGTTTATGGTTTACCCCTCAATGATTTGTTCCCAGCCTGTGGTGGTAACAAATACTGTAATGTTACATTCTCAAAAATGGAAAAAACAGAGGAAAGTGAGATGGAGCTTTTTGTGGATTTTTAATAGCAATTCCCCAACTTTGTGAGGTCAATGATCATTTGCTGGCAAGCTGCTTACAGCTCTCTGACCTATGCATGCAACTACTAAATTTCTTCCATGTGTTAACTTTTTTTACACCAGGGAAACATGAAACCTTCAGAGTCCACTGGAGGTTTTTCTGGAGGTTCAACCACATTTCTAAACGGCAAAATGTTATTGTAGTTTTTATTTATGACAATATGACAATTAAATTACAAAAATAAAATCTTTTTAGAAGAGACATTACCCAATTTGTAAATATCCGTTTTAAGTTTTGTTCCTTTTTCATCAACGGTATGAAAATACCTGGAGGGCACTATATATCAAAAAAATTGCGGCAGTGTTCATTTTTGTCCACATATCGGTTATCACATCTAAAACAGCTAAGTAAAAGTTTTTAGTATTTTATCCTTAAGCGCATCAGACAATCTACTGTTTCAAAGACTGTAAAGACAAGGCCTATTATTTCCCTTAGAATTAAGTGGCATTAAGTATCTTTGTGTCTGGACCAAACAGCCTGTTGACCATCACAGGAAAGTAGCAAAAATGACCTCTCGCGGTGGTCAGCCAAATGATGATCTAATGGTCTTTGCATGTGAGCAAGTAAGGGAGATGAGCTTATCTTTCAGATAAGAATCTTTCCCAGGACAGTCCAGATCCATTGTCATTACCCATTTAAGATGGATGTCCACTGCTGGTGCCAGCATGTCTGGCAGATGGACAGAGGCACGTCTGGAGAGAATCCTAAAAGTCACAGGGCATGGTCAATCATCCAACAAGATGACCAACCAATCTAAGACCTGATGGGTCTGGTAACCCATTCCACCTCATAGCTTCTTGACCAATCACCAACCGCATTTTCCCCAGTGAAAAAGCAGTGCATCACCTCCAACTCGGCTGCCCTCCTCTCTCCGCTGAACCAACTGGGCTGACAACAGAATCATGTGCCTGACACACTTGTCTGAACTTTGGGACTTTTTCCTGAAGCACAGAGTAAGGGGAAAAACCCATACCTAAAGACAGAATTCTGCCCGTGGTCTATCCTGCAGCAGAACCTTGAGACAAGCTAGCTACCACCGTGTGTCTGCTTCAGTACCAGAGCAATACCACTGGACTTTGTCGACACACCTGAATAGAATATTATTCAGCAGTAGCCGCTACTCTGGGAGCAAACAGAGTTTCTCTCCTTTTGGTGTGACTTGCCCTGACTGAGCAGTCACCACACTATGCACAGGCTATGTCCAAGTTCAACTCAATTCTAAGCGGATAATCCATTTAGGGAATCAACTGTCAGCACGATCGTTACAGAAGGATCCTTCTCTCTCTCCCCCCCAATACTTTGAACTACCTCAGGACTGGAGTGGCACTGAGCCAGCAGAGCATTAATTGGATAGCGCTGCAATGGACCAAGTCAGCAGTCGTAGATGAGTGTAATTCAATATTCACCCTCTCAAGAATGAAACTGTTATATTAACACATTAACATCAATTAAATTCATTTAAGTAGCCATAGTGACTTAAGAGTGCCTGTTGAATATTTTAAAGAGACTGGTGAGGACTGGTGAGGTTATAGTGGACATAAAAACGAGAGTTCGCTGCGGCGTTACAGGAAACCCAATTTTAACAACAAATTGCTGGCGTTTTATCCTAGAAAGCACTGAGACCAGGACCAGTAGGAGCACTCCCGCAGCGAAAAAGAAAATGCCTGATGAACTAGGGATTGGACAGTTTTTCAGTGGTTGAACGATTGATGGAAATGTTCAAATAAATGTGCTAAAGACTTACTTTATATGATTGGAAACTAATGTGTGATCGGATCAACGAAATGCTGTGGTATTACTTTTTGTCAATGAAAAAATAAAGTACTTTCGTTTACAAAGAATGTGGACCAGAGTTATACTTTGAGTTTACAGCTTGTCCAAGGTCATTCATTATTAATACTATTAGTAATATCTTCGGTATAGACTTTGATGCATAAAATATTTCTGCATAATTAAAATATTTATGATAAAGGTAGGTTGTGTACTTTTGCCCAACTGAACAATAAACAATTTCATAAAATATACCAACTTTTTAATGAATGATGAGTAACATGCTGTAATACACAGTTTAAATTTAAAAGCTCAAATGCTGTACATGAGAGGTTAAGCTTTATTAGCTCCTCCTGGTGGTTTTACAAGGTGATTCCAGATACTATCAATATAATCGAATTTGCATATGGTAAATGACGCGTTATACCGCGTTTTGATGCGACACGCCCAATGCGTTATACCGCAGCGTACCCTGCTTGTTTTGAATGGCTGCATCTGTATTTTTGGAATTCTGCTGACATGGGCTCTGGCAATTCCACTCCATTCTGATCATCCAATTGAACTGAGATTTTGAGGGAAACGTAGGCTCATGCTTACGGGGCTCAAGGTGGATAACCATAACCAGGTGTATTTGCAACCATGATTTCCACTGATCAAGCACTAGGATATGGTAGCAAAAGTCCGTGTCATTTACACTCTAGGTTCTTATTAGATTCTATGAAGGAAATGAAGATCTTGTTGGAAATTAGATCATTGCACATTTGTATCTTATTCAGTCACTTGCACAGGTTACTGAACTCAAGTGAAGTCTAAATATCACACTCCAAAATGATGATATTTAGTTTCAATTCAATGAAACATTCCACACATGAAAACACACACAAAATAGATATTAGCATTGTACATATGCTGGGAACTGACGGCAAATAAGGAACTGGTCCAACATACCACTTTTACGTAAACGGTGCAATAGTCAATACTTCAGGCATCACTGTTTATGCAAAAGTTAAGTGGATAAAAAATACCTTATTAACTATTCATGGAATCTACTGGTACCTGATCATCTTTACTGGTATGTCGAAGGAGGTGTCGAAGGAAGTTCAGTCTGGAACATTTGCGGACAAGTATGATGTCTGTTGTCCCATCTGCTAGGTGTGCTGCCGGGGAAAGACCTTTTGGGCTGCGTGGACAAGCACAGCTCATACTGGCAGCATTGATGGCAAGAAACTTCCCCTTGACAACTTTCCATTCTCTTTCATCTTCTAAAATACACAAATACAAGAAGGTTATCCATGCTTTAGTTCACACCCTTCTTTATAGTTATGAGGTCTGCAGATCATCTTTAACAAGACTGTTGAGAAAATAAATATCTTCACAACTCTTCTTTAAATGAAAATGGTGTTTAATACTGATTACACAAAACCATTTAAGCAATTTTGTCTTAAGAATTGTGCTCTCTTAAGGGTTAAATCACACTGAAATTATGTAAAGACCTATTATTCAAATAAAGTCACTCTGGAGTTTAAAAATGTAGGATACTGCTGTTATAAATTAAATATATCTGGCATTTCCTATGCAATTTAACACTATTGCACAATTATTCAAGTAAGATATAAAATGTTAGAATTCAAGTCAGTAATTAAATTAAGGAACTGTGATGTATTAATGTTATTTGTAGTAATATATTTTAACACAAACATATGATATACTACTACTGCAGATTTGGTATGGTCTCCAATGATGCTAACAGGCTCTGAGAGTTGGAAATCATCTTCTACATAGATAAAGACCAGCTGAACACAGATAAGGACTCCCAAGAAAAATGTTCATTGTGATTGGTCAAAGAATCTACTCAATAACGTTTATGTCTAGTAATTGGCCAAGCTATCACAGGATCTACAGTATGCATAATACTCATTAGTGATCACCTGGTTTTTAAGTATGATATACTTTGGACTAATTGATTTTCTATGAACTCCTTAAGTACCAACAAGTATTTATACAACTCATACTCAATTCTAAACAGAATAGGCACCAGAGCCTCTTCTTGACAGGATACAATTATGGCTCCAGATAACTTGACACCATGCCACAGTTTTTGTTTTCTAACATCATCATCATAATAACAACAACAACAACAACAACAACAACAACAACATAGGGCATAGTCTAGTAATATTTCTGAGGTGAAAAAAAATTGTTTTGACAATGTGCTGCACATGTGGGTCGAATGTTAAGCCAGAATCAAATATCACTCCAAGGTTTTTCAACTTAGACTCAAGCACAAGTACAGAACCATCACAGATACAGATACAGATGGGGTTACAGGATTGGCTTTACAAAGTTGATGGGGGGTGCCAATAAGCATGACTTCAGTCTTGTCACAGTTAAGATTAAGGAAATTTGAGTCTTCAAAAGTTTTTATGTCAGAGATGCAATTAGATAGAATAGAGACAGCCACATCACTGTCACGTTTGGTACGGATGTATATTTGAGTATCATCAGCATAGAAATGATAATTGAGGCCATGTGATCTTAAAAGCTGACCAAGTGGAAATATGTAAATGCTGAAGAGCAAGGGGCCCAGTATTGAGCCCTGAGGAACACTAGTCCTAACAAGACCAATGGGATCTAAAATAGATGTGGTGGGTTTCATGTGTGTAACTAGTTTATTGAGGAATGCTGAGTCAAGAAGAGAGAATTTGGAGAGAAGGGAACCAGAAAAGTTGGATAAGGAGGGAGGAGGTATGGAAATGATATGCGTAATGGAGAGAAAGTGATGCCGGATGTTGTCGGTCTTGGAGGTGAAGAAATCTAAGAATGTGTTGCAAAGTTGCAATGAGGCAGGTAATATTGTGGGGTGGTTTGGCTTTAGTAACCGTTTGATGGTGGAGAAAAGATGTGGTTGTTATGGTAATTTTCAATGATGTGAGAGAAGTAGGTTGATCTAGCAGATTCTATTGTAACCTTATATTCAGATAAGTTATCTTTCCAAGCCTGATAATTTCCATTTATGCCACCTACGCTCAAGTTTGCACAACATACAGTTAGACAGGACTGGCTACCCTGCACCCTAAAAATATTAAAAGTGCAGTAAAAACAAATAACATTCATGGTAAAAAAAAAAAAAAGAATGAATATAAATTCAATTATATTTTATATAAAATATGCCAACAAAAATGCACTTCTGAATGTCAGCTTTGAATGTTAATGCAGAGTCATACTAATTTTTTTTAAAAAGGGAAACATCTATTCAAATATCTAGTCTTCAATGGTACAGAAGTGCTCAGAAATAACCAATAACCCATAAATAAGACAATAGCACATTATTGCAAATTATGCTGATAAAATAAGACATACTATACATATAATTCGGAGTATCACCCAATTATTTCCTATACAAATTCAAAGCTACATTCAATTTTCTATGCTAATTGAACAAGATCCTAGAGGATCACTTATATTAACGCAAAATATAGTATGCAAACCTTCAGAAAATAGGGCCTGTTCATTTTCCATTAGTAATCAGTATATTAAGTGTTATATTGCCAGTCATTGGAAGGTATTTGTATTTTATTACTGTGTGCATTCTTCCATTCCATTACAGCAGAAAAGGAGATGTTCATTCAGATAAATAAATCAGGGTTTATTTTAACTTTTCTTTGACTGAGGTCCCCCATGGATATTTAGGAAATGATGAGAAAGCATTCTAATAGACCACAAAAAATCAGATGCCTAGCTGTAAATAAAAGTGAGAATAGAATTAACTGTTTTCACTAGAAATACTGTATATATGGGTTACATACGATCAATATTCACACTTCCCATACTCAACACTTCCAGAAAAGTCTGGATAAGACTATATATCCCATACTTACACATGCAAAAAACAAAAACGTACCCTCTAATGTTTTATTTTCTCTTTTGAGAGCTTAAAATGTTTGCAATTTTATGAAATTCCTGGATTACTTTAATGCTTTTTCACAACATAGCTGAACAATACAAACATTACTGCTAAGACAAGTATAGTTACACTGTTTAACTTGTATGTTCTTAAACTTATATCCATTTTGATCATATTGCCATCTTTAATAACCTCACATGGAACTAATAATGCTACCAGTATAGCTATTCCTTCTTTTCGGCTTATTGTGCAGCTTATCCAACTTCTTATTCTTACGCAGTAATTATCACATCTTGGTTCACTTACTGTATTGGATTGAATTGTTTAAATAATCCCATATGCATTTGTTCACTGCAATTTATTAAACTTCAGGAAAAGGTTTAAATAGAAGTTACATTGGACAATGGTGACAAATTGTTTTCTTCCTCTTTGCTGTACTTCATCCTGTTTGCAGGATGTGTAAGATTTGGTAGTTTGGGTCCTAAAAATGTTTCTCCTGAAACATGCTTGTGCTGCTGTGAGTTTTCGCATTTAATGTCATTTTAGCAGATGAAAGAAACATGAATAATCAATTTCAGCTTTGCTATGAACTATGAAGCAGTGAAGTTTTTCTTAAATTATTAAATTGTAACACCTATGGAAAGGAAATTGTGATTTACATACTGTACACCACATCAATAAGCATTCATAAACAGAAAAGTTGTGAAACATTTAATCAGAAACTTTTTCTTTAATCAGAATCTATTAATACTACTTTGGAAAACTTTGATACAGAAAAGAACCTAAGGTAATCAACGAAAAACAATGGATTTCTACCTCTTGAAAATTATATCATTAGAAGGCTTGCAGTACCAGGAGTTTAGGGTCTCCCTCTAAGTGGGATCCTTCTGCATGTGCTTTAGTTTAAAAGAACTGTGTTTTACCTAAGAAGCCTCAGAGGCATATTTATAGTGGTACTGTCTTATATAAGTCTCTTCTGAGTGATGAAAGTCACGTTTCTCACGTGCCTGGGCTGTGCATCAAAAATATTATTGGTGCTTGTGTCAGGGTCTTTCCAAATGACGAGCACTGATACGAAATGTTTTGTTCGGCTTTTTCCAACACTAGACACTTGTCAAAATAACACTGAATTGAAGCATTTTTTTCCACAGGATCATTTTAAACATTACAGCAATTTCATATTTACTGGAGGCTGATTTTGTGCTGATGTTTCATTAGACTATTAAACTTGTTTCCTTACCATTTTCACTAACACCCCCCTCAACACTTTCATCCCGTATTTCTTCAGAGAACAGTTGTCCATTATGCTGGCAGACATAACACCTGAGGGAAAATAAAGTTAATGTTGCTTTCATTCCATTAGGAACATTTTATTAAATGGAGAAAAAAAAACATACACAATCCTTTTTGCATGAACAGAAGTAACCTATTTTCCCAAAGATTAAAGTACAAACATTACAGGCAATATCAAACAGAATAGGTATCTCTCTATATTCAGCACTCTTTAATGTAACATTATTACCAAAAAATTAAAAATGAGCACATAGAAGAAATGTTTTGATAATGGCACAACACTAGAGACAGCATAAAGATACATCACAGAATTATAGAAGAAAGATGCGTTACTATACAAACTGATTTTGGTGGAGACCCTGAGTATTTGGCAAGGTGAACACAAAGCTCAGAAAATCCCAATATAAATTCCACTGTCAAGAGCATGTAATGCAGCACGCCTATATCAAGCTGCATCACAAAGAGAATCATGTTTTACTTAAGAAGCCTCACAAGTATATTTACAGTAGAACTGATTTAAATAAGTCTCTTCTGAGCGATGACTTGTTTATGTGGCAGGTCTCTGCCTGTTTTTTAACTTGTACTTTTCAAGTTATGGTCACAATAGTACAGCATTGTAGCAATCACTCCTCTACTGATGAAGCATAATTAATCCTAGGATAGAAATACGTTAATATTATTTACCCTGATCTGCACTTGGTTTTGTCTCTTGGGTTTCCCAAGATATCAGTGGCTGGTTGAAAGGATACTGTTCCTTCATAGTAGTGATGAGATAGAAATGTCTTGATACCTAATAAATAACAGCAATACAAAATACAAACAGCTGATTTAATCAGTGGTGTAGTGGACACAACATAACAAAGGAATATATTTACAACATGAAACATAAAACATAGGAAAATTAACAAATGAGAGTAAGCCATTTTGTCTATTGATCCATTTTAATTAGCTAGAAGCTAAATGATTCAAAGATCTCATCTAGAATTATCTTGAAAGAAGCCACAGTACTGACTTCAACAACTGGGCAAAGTATTTTGTCCAATATTCCCACAACGCTTTTTATACAAAGTGCCTCCTGCTCTTGTTTTTTTCACATACTTTTCACTTGGGTCCTCTAATCTGTTTTTTACTACTGACACTGAATTTGTTCAGATAAATCTCTAAAAATTTAGAACAGCTTGTTTTTTTACAACTGCTTCAGCATAGCCAATTGCATTCCTCAAGTCTCAGCTACAATTCCCATAACCATGGGAGAATGAGTGAAGTGAAGGCAGGATCCTTTAACCCACCTACCTTCGAGCCATTCATTCTTTAATGTTTCACAAGTGCATTTTTCCATAAAAACAATTACCTGAAAAATCGTATCTAGCTGGACCCATCCATCGTTTCTTTTCACTGTCAGCCAGTATATCTCCATAAAACCCATATCCTAGTAGGGATACTGAGTACTTCAGAAATGTGTCATTATGGTGCACTGAACAGACATCCAAGGCCTGAGAATCACCTAAAAGGATATTTAATAAAACTAATATTAGAATATAAACATACATAAGCACAGAATCTAATAAGCCATGTAATGTGTGGAAAGCAGCAGGGGCTTCCCCAATGAAACATACTGAGATAAAGAATATAATAAATGTGAATATTCGTACACAACAGCAAATTAAACACCACAGTAATATTTTAAATAATTTAAAAAAACACAAAGAAGGTTTTTTCATATTTAAAAAAGTGGAGTGTATTTTGCAAGATTGAAGATTTACTCATACAGTATACTACAGAAAAAAATGTAAGTCTGTGCATTTTCTAAATTTAAATAAAACAATGTAGCAGCAGAGGAGTAGCACACTGGTATGGAATAGTTTCAATGCCTCCATGCTTTTGGTTCCCGGGTTCTGTGCAACCTGAAGTGCCTTCTGTGCGGAAACTCCTGTTTCTTTCCCTGTGGTTGTGCAAGTTTTTCCTAGGGTGTTCTGATTTCTGCCAACATTCCATCCAGAGACAACGGACCAGCTTAACTAGCAACTCTAAAGATGTCCCCTGTACGTATGTATGTGTGTGTGTTAAGTTCATGTATTTTGCGATAGACTAGTGCCCTATCTAAGGTGTACCCCGACATGCTCTCATGGTCTGCTGGATAAGGCTCCAACACAATGCAACCCTCTATTGGGCGGTGCGGTGGCTCTGTAGCAAAGGATCTGTGTCTGTGGCTGTCGCCCGTTCGTATCCCATGGCCGGCAGAGGAATCCTACTCCGTTGGGCCCCTGAGTAAGCCCCTTAACCCCAACTGCTCCAGGGACGCAGTATAAATGGCTGACCCTGTGCTCTGACCCCAAGCTTCTCTCCCTATCTGTGTCTCTCATGGAGAGTAACTTGGGGTATGGGAAAAAAGACAAATTCCTAATACTAGAAACTGTATATGGCCAATAAAGTGATCTTATCTTATTAGAATAAATGATCGCTGAAAATTGATATTCACACCAATGTTAGATGTGTACTAAAAGGTACTTCATTATCAACAATTATTAAAAGAATAAAGTTCAACTTTGTTGCTATAGTTACGTTGTAGGCCAAATAAAGTATTACATTTTATTTAATTTAAAACACGAACCAAATACGTAGAACACAGTAGACCATAGAACAGCAAAATAAAAAGTATTTTGTAGGACTACATTCTCGTACATCATGAGCATTATTTCACAGATTAAAAATAGAGCATTAATTCATTCATGCAGAAAAATATATTTTTACCAGAATCAGATTAAAGACAAAATTAGAAACTGGTTATTCATTGCGCTTTGTCTCATTTTTGTACCATACATAATTACTTTACAATTTACCTACTCACCCACAATAATATGTAAGGCTGAAGTCACTGGGTCATTAATGCCAATCGTTGCATAGCAAATGCAGTCTGTTGAGCCTAGTTTAAAAGGAGAGATTTATAGTTTTAGTCTGATAAAACACAAGAAGGATGGATTTTTAAAATCATACTGAAACTTAAATCATAAGCTTAAGACAGACAATCCAAAATAAACTTTAACAGGATAGAAATATATCATAATTTACTTTAAACTGTTACACAATCTTATTGCAACAGAATCAAAATATTAAAACAAAATTTAAAAAAATAAAAAAATAAGATTAGAATAATGTTTCCATACATTTGAAATGATTACTGTTTCCCTTACCAAGTCTCTTTGCTTGTAAAAAATATAGCACATCTTGTAAAAGGGGAACTGCAGTCCCAATTTCTCCAGACCTGTTATTCCATTTTGTTAACAAAATTAATTCATTGACAGTATATAAAAAGTTTACAAATTTTGAATTAAGCACAAAATGGTGAACTTTGTCAAAGTACAGTAAGTCGCCATGCTGTAGCAAACTCCTTGTCTCGCCCTGGGCAAGAGCGAGAGTTTGCGCAAATTGGGACATGATGCGGCCCTTCCTGCTCACTAGTCACCGTAATGACTAATGTAACTTGATGCACGAGTGAATAAGTACTGGTTGTGCAGCTGACATTTTACTGCAGAAATGTTCCAATGTGATCTGCATGCACAGTTAACAAGTAGTATTTGTAGGCAAAACTATCTGGAAGTCAAGAGCAATATTTCTATTTGATTAAAAGAGATGTATTCACAAGCCTGCTTGTTTACAATGTAATAAAGCTGCTTCACCAGACGTTCTGTTGCCTGGTTTTGAATCGTAGAATATGGCGCTGCGCATACCTGAAATTCCATCCATTTTGTAAATAGTTTTTTTTTCAAGTTACTGTGTATATTTTGCTTTTATTATGGTTTGAAATGCATTCAACGCCGATTCTTTCTAACCCAGGAATATAAAAAACGTTCCCCTTTAATTTTAAAATTTGAATCTCCCTCCTATTGTCTTGATAGATGCAAAAAGTCTTTAGTAAAAATCACTAAGTGGATTATCATTATAAACATGAGAATCTGTGATTTAATTAACCACACTTCATCCTCCAAAAACATTTATTTTTCTATGATAAAATATTATAATAGTTTTTGTATTTTGTGTCTTGTTAGTTTCTGTAACAAATATTTGTCTTGTAGGCTAGTGCCTATTTCTTAACCACTCATTTGTTCATGGATGTTTGAAGATGTTATACGACCTTGCTTGGTGGTTGCTGACTCAAATGTATATGTATGTGATTTTTTTGTGTATTGAAAACGTATTGATAACACCCTTGTTTTTTTAACAATACATTTAGATATTCTTCACTTAGAGGAATTCAGTCCTTTTTCGGAGTGAAGAAACCTCAATCCATGAGAGTTCTATGTTGGCTCAGTAGGTTAAGACTTTAATCAAACTTGAATTTGATCAAGTTTACTGTGACAGTCAGCTAGTTAAAAACAAACCATAAATGGCATAGAAAGCAAAGTGATAACACTTGAACAGCTACAGCAAAACATCAATAATACACCACAGTGTTGATCAGGAGTCCTTCCTCACCCATAAATCGCTGAGCTGCAGCTCTTTCAACTTAATCACCTTTAGTGATAGGAAAGAAGTTATTTACCTTTTCATATGTCCTGTTTTAAAGTAGATAAGATGGTGTTGTTCTATTACAAAGCAACCAACAGATTACTTTAGATTAAACCTTCAATACATTTAGAGAGTTCCTATCCATCACTGGATGCCTGGAGCTCAGGTTGAGCTCTATTGCCAGGACATGCCTGTTTCATATCACTGTGACAAGGATTCCTCAAACAGTAGTGCACAACTGGAGGAGTGCCACCAGGGAAGGATAAGTGTTACTCGGCCACGGTCCTTTGGTTTATCAAGAAACAGACCACTGCGACTTGGCACTGCAAGCCTGCAGGCACTCAGCATCCATCAATCATAATGCTCCTACAATTGCTCTTAACTGTTCTGAAAAGCAAAGAGGACCTTGCAATGTGTCATAAGATGAATGACTAGGATAAGTGGACATGTCAGAGGATCATATTCTCCCCATGCAAAACATGAATCGCTGTTGGAAAGCAGTCTTACACTACCAGCACTTCCACTTGTGGTGGGAATGTAATAAAGGTCTCTCAAAATATTTCAGTAATCTTTACAGCCTTGTCTGGCAAGTTAACCAAAATATATATATTTTAGATAGAAAAATAGTTTACATTTCTATTTTAGAATCCTTATCCAGATTCAAAAAAACATTATTTCCATCTAAAACTGCCTATTATACCAACACCTCCTGTTACAAATTAATTGTCCAGTTCTCCAAATTTAGCACCAATTTGGAGTTTGCTGATTTTCTCTCATTTTTATGCCTTAAATTAAGGATCCTTATTCTAGGGGACTTTAATATAAACATCGATTCAAGGTCTTCCAGTCTGGCTAAAGACTTCCTATCTCTATTGGGATGCTTTGATCTTACTCAGTTTGTTTGAACTCCTACACAACAAAGGACACACTTTAGATTAAATTATTGCATAATAATTATGCAATAATTCTAGACTAATATCACTAGACTATGCCCTATGCTATCACTAACCGTGGCTGAAAAGCTGACCAACACATTTGTGTCATCTCAAATTGACTACTGCAATGCTCTACTCGCTGCGGTATCTAAATCTACTCTGAACAAACTGCAGTATGTCCAAATTTCAGCAGTCAGAATCCTGACCAGGTCTAGTGCAAGTGTTCACATTACTCCTATCCTGGAGTCCTTGCACTGGCTTCTAGTCAAATTCCGTGTAGATTCCGTGTAATCCTCATGCTCACCTATAAGGCTCTGCATGGGTTGGCACCTCAGTACCTGTCTGAACTATTATCGCCCTACTCCTCACCTCACAACCTTTGCTCTTCTAATTCTGCTCTCCTTACTGTCCCCAAAGCCTGCCTACATTGTATGGGTGACAGGACCTTCTCCCGTTATGCCCCCAAGCTCTGGAACTCTCTCCCAAAGGATATCAGAGAGTCACCTTCTCTAAACTCCTTGAAATCCAGACCCAAAACCCTCTTCTTCAGAGAAGTCTTTACTTAACTGGTTCCATTCCTCAACCCTCTGCTTTTCTTAGTGCCACCATCCACAGTCTCCTCTATATATTGTAATTGTATTTTATCTTATTCTTCTTATTTATTGTTGTCATCCTATAAAGCGCTTTGAGAAGCCACCTTTAAAGGCGCTATATAAAATAAAGTTTATCAATGTACTGAGCACACAAATAATATTGGACAAGATGGCTGCTTAACCACTGTTCTCAAGTCCTGATTTTTGTTATATGGATTAAATAGAAATGTGACAGATTTCATGAACAACTAAAGTCACTTCCAATAAATCTCACAAACTGATGTGGCAATTAATTATGCTACCTATAAAAGGATATGAAACAAGGTGAAACAGGCCTCTTTATCCTTTGAAAATGCTTTGGTAAAGTAACAACAAACTTGGGAGGTATCATTCTAGTTGTGGTAAAGTTAATGTTTGGCAAAACGGAATTAATTAAAATAGCCACATGTCCAAAATTTTGTTTGCAAAATTTAAACCATCTTGGTAATTGCCAAACTGACTGAACAGAAATTTGCCTGGTTTCATTATACATCACAGGATGCAGTGATAGTTTTGGTTATCATCTTGGCGCAATACACCTTGTACAGTACCACGAACTGCTCTTCAAAAAGTGTTTCCTTATTGAACTGCCAACAACAATTTGCAGGTTCCTGATCATTCTGGATTCACTTTAGTTTACTAAAAATACGCACTGGTATATTATGTGCACAGAGACTTGCTTGAAAACTGTTTGTAGTTTTCTAATTTACTTAAGTGTTGTTCCAGTCTATCTCATGCTGAAAAGATAAGCAACATTTTAAAACAGTATTCATCAAAATCTTACCTGCTGGAATAATGCCAACCCTGAGGTTGCACTGCACCAGTTTTTCATGGGCACAGTTTTGGTCCACTCCTGAATCAGTCTGCGTCCGTGAAATTAAACCATGAATGACCTCGCTGAACATACCGTCACCTCCAACACAAACAATGCTGCAAAAAAAGCTACTAGTGATTACATGTATCACTTACAGATAAGTGCATCTTTTTGAGCTACTGCTGCTTTTATTTTAAAGAAATACTTATTACAATATTATAACATTCACATAACATTAAAAGGTATTCCAATTCTTTACTGAAAATAATGTATAACTCTACTTGAAAAAGTAACAACTAGGAATCTAAACAGGATGCCACTTGAGGTCAAGGTCATAATACAATTCATGAATGAGATTTAAACATGGATTGGTTGCTTCAACAATTCTTACTGATTATGCCAGGAACTTTAAAAGCAACTGAACTTAGACAACATTTAATTGAGAAGACTTCAAAATCAGCAGAAAATTTGTTAAAACATTTAGTTTTAATACAACTAAAAAAAACTCTTCCATCAATTTCCCTAAAACACTACATTATGCAATAAACTCCAATTCAATGGTATTTAATGTAAGCTTTGACACAATAGACCTTTCTTTAGAATGTTTAAAAAACTAAGAGTCACTCACTTCAGCTACTCTCTGCATCCATCAGTTACCCGGTCTTTGGCCGTTGTCGATCGATTATGCATTTATTTATAATTTAAGAAATGGTTTTAATTAAGAATTATGGTACAATATTACAGATGTGATTCCTGGGTTAACACTCACCCATCATATTTCTTGAGGTCAGCTTCAGTTTTCAAATGGTCCCTGGCATGATTAGCACGTTCTGTAACTAAAGAAACAAATACACAATGCTTCATTTTTATCCTCGTGAAATGCAATATAAAGCCTTTTTCTTCAGTTTATGGAGAAATACGAAGACTACTAAAACTATTTCCATTCTCAGATTCTCTTTGTACTTTTCAGCACAAAATTAACTTTTACATCTATATAATAGTTGGTGTATCTGAGCCATTCATTTATGTGACATCTATAATAGCGGTCACATAAATGAATGACCCAGATACAATACAACGTTTCAGAAAATTTACTACGGCATAGAATTTGGTTAAGAAATATAAATCCCGAAGCTTACATTTAAAAATAGAAGTATGCAAACTTCAATGCTAATGTCCTAGACTTATTTCAAGTACCACAGAAATAAAAGCAGAGCAATTAACAAAGAAGTTAATTGACCACAGGATCAACATTTTGCAATGGACTTGAACCCTACTGACAAACTGTGGTTTGAATTGAAGTGGGCTATCCATAAGCACAGACCGATGGATATTAAGGATCCAGAAAGATTTTGTATGGAAGAATGGTATAATGTCCCTCCCAATGTGTTTTCCAATCTCATTAAAAAAGGCTCTAGGCTGTTATATGCGCAAGGAGAGGGTAAACAAAGTGCTGAAAACATGGGTGCCAATAATTGTGGCACTTTATTTTTTGGAAATAAATTTATAATCTGAATTTTGAATATAATTTATAATGTGCAATATTGGTTGATTCCACTGAATCATTAAAGTCAAATATTCCATATTGGAAAATTATAATATAGCTAATTTACATTGAATGCAGAAAAGCTCAATATATAAAATACCCACACACCCAAGAAAAACATAATAAAGTGAAATTCCCCACAGAAGGTTTTATTTATTATTCAGGAATTCTGTAGAATTCTAAGTTAAATTTGGAGTGTATATGGTTACTACATTGAATATTCCATGACAAATAATGGTAGGCTGACACCTCCCTTTAATAAAGCACACACTGTTGAAGCTTGGTACATTCATGCATAAGGTCACGCTTCATCTACCAAATAGTCCTTGCCGACATTGAATTTCCACAAAACCTGTATTTATGGGTTGCATTTTCTGTCACCTAATTAAATTTTGTAGATAGTCACTCTCTTACGCACCATTTACCATGTTAAACTGCATATTATCAGCAATATAAAGCAATGAAAAATAGAACAGTAAAAATAATCTTTGTTGCCCATCTTGATCTCTAGAAAATGGCAAGTTAACTGCAATAACATTACAGGGAATTTAATTTTAAGAATATCACTCAAAAAATATTGTTCCCCACTAGTTCCACAGACTAAAGCCATACATAGTGGGAGTGAGTTGTACAAAAGGCCAGTCATTTAACAGATTATGTAATAAACATTTAAGGTAATGCCAAAGTTGTTAGAATATTTGAACTTTCATCATGAAATATAAAAGCCTATTGTGAGCTACTAGGGTACCTTGGTAATAAACCACCATTATCATGGCTGTTGTACTGGATTATGAAAAACCGATATTGCATACAGCCAACAGCTGCTTTAAAAGTACCATAAATAACCAATGCTGTTTGATTCACATGTTTATCGACCATCACAGCTTTCATTATGGTATATTGTTGAAGGATCGAGTAATAAATAAAATCACATTCCCTAAACGTTCAGTTGCTTGGCTATTTGCCTGCCGAGATCAATTTATAGACCATAAACATTCATTGTATTATTTAAATGTTAATGTACAGTGCTGACATGAACTCACCAATCACATCTGTAGAAATGGAAGCAAGAGTGAAGAGCTGAACCACCTTCTGTTCATAAATCTGCTTTCCTTGTTGTTTGCCTCCATAGGGATTAATATATACAAGCAAGTGCTTTGGTCTACAAGCTGTTAAACAATTTGACACATCTGATTAAAATAAAGGATTATAGCACGATCATAAATTAATATAAAATAATGGGCAAGTACAACTTGATATTGATTTACAGACTTCCATAAGGACATGTTTGTGAATATGCACAAATCTATGAACACGAGACTGTGCTTTCTTGGTGATGCAGTGATTCCTTCATCCTCCCAGGCGAATAAAGGCATGTGGTGCTTTGGTGAAGGATGCAACTCCTCCCCAATCGGTGTGGTTCAAGACTGCAATGCCCGCAATCGAGCCGAGATGTGAAAAAACAACTCTGTATGTCAAAGCAGATGGCTATAACAAAGAAATTGGCAATTGTAGTTTAAAAAGCATGTTACACAATGCTATTTCTAACAATATTTGTTGTGTACTTAATGCTGCCCAGCATATAAGCAGCAATGTATTATTAATGTATTCTATTAATTAATTAATACATCTACAGCTGACTATGTGGGCACAGAGGAGAGAAAAACAAACACTCCCATTTCTTAAAAACAAGCACTCTTGCTCAATATACTTAATAGAAAATCAATTTTCAGATATTGCAATGATTGGAAAAGCAAGATTTTCGAAAAGGGGAAAATATACCACAAATTCCATATTGCAGCAACATAAATAACTGTATGGATATATAAAACAAATAAATGGAAATATAGGAAAAACAATCAATAACCAAGTTTTAAAAGAGCTTACTTTGTAACGAAAGTTGTTCCTTTATAGCTTGGACCCACTGCTGTCGGAGTAACCCATCACTGCAGAAGAATGTCACATTGCCACACCGCCAGCGGTGTTGCCTGGCCCTTTCCACATAAAATACTGGACACAAACACATACAAAAGAGCAGATTACTCACAGTTTCAGAAACCTAGCACCCACACCCAGTTATGTCATTATATCACTCGCTCTTTTTAAGCATAACATTTATGAAAAAGTAATTTCACCCTAACTTCATATATAGTAATATTGTCCCTGTTCAAACGTGGATATCAACAGTCACTTCAGCTAGTCAAAGTTGCAGATTTGTATTAGGATTCATTCTTTAAAGCTGCAGCCTCAATTGTGGTTAGTTTTTTTTTTTTTTTACACCTGCTTGTTTGGAAAGAAGTGAATTTTCTTTTTTTTGTACCTGTAAAAGCATATGGATATGTTTCCACTGTTTTCTGCGACATCTTCTGCCATTTTCCTTCATCTTTGGTTTGAATGTTGTCAACTTCAGTTTCTTGAACAGCAATAATTTCAGATACAGGCACACAATGGCTACCTTTATAGAATACAAAATCACAATGAAAATGAAGTAAGAAATAGTCAGACTATCAAACTAAATATCAATGATGATTTTTATTACACATTGAATATTCACATTTGAATATTATCTTAGAGAACATAAGAATTGTTAGAAATAGGAGGAGGCCATACAGCCACGCGAGCAGGTTATTTTCTAGGACCTCATCCAGCTGTTTCTTGCAGGAAGGGTATCAAGCTTCAACATGACTAAGTAGCTGGGTACACACTCACAACCCTTGAGGTAAAGAAATGTCTCCTGATCTCAGCAATAAAGGCACTTATCATCAAAAGAACCTCACTCAGAATGAAAATGTAACTTTAATATTTAAAAAATGTTTAAATATTTCTTTCAATAACTTTATTATTTCTTCAGTTTGAATGATAACCTAAAAAAATGCAGAATAGTTTTAACTGTGCAAGCTACTATATGATGTCTAAATTCTGTTTCTAAAACAAATGCAAAGAAAATGGTCATAAAAGTTTAAATATAAGGAGAAAATATATTTATATTTAAGTAATATTTATCAGCTTTCCTTAATTTATAAGAAATAAGTCAATTTGTTAATGAATCAATGAAGGGACTAATAATAAAAAAATGTCTGCCAGGAATATTACATGACACTGATTTTTTTTAAGTTTCAAGAACTGATACTAGTTACTATTTGAACAGAATTACCAACTGTATAGCATCAGCTCTGGAGTCAATCATGAAATTGCTGCTGTCACACCAGTGCTAACCAAGCTACTGATAACCCGAGATATTGTAGACTTACTTTAATTCTTTCTTGTTAAAAAATAATGAAAATGTTGTAGCACAATGAAATAACATTTTTTAGTTTTACAGAGATTCCTAGCATCAAAACAGTCCTTATCAAGGCTGTTACTGATATTTTAATGGCTTCAGACTCATGGGATCTTTCCATTTCAGTTTTATCAGATCTCAGTGACTCAATCAATACTGTGAATTATACTAAACTTCTTCCTCAGCTGGCAGGTACGCTTGGCATTTCTGTTACTGTCCTCAGTTGGTTTAGCTCATATCCCATTTACAGGAAAATATGAATATGATTGGTTTTCAAATACAGTATATAAAGGACAGATATACAACACACATACAGTACATATGTATACTCACAAAAACTTCCACTTTACCAATTTTTTTTAAATCATTGGTAAAAATGCTAGCTTTATGCTAATTATAAGCAAATATATGTACAGTGTGATGGTAAACTGGATGCAATAAATTATTTGGCAATTGAGCAAGGATAAGACTGAGGTGAGGTTACTAGGTTCTCCACATCAAATGTGACGATTTAAACCATCAAATCATGCTATTCAATAGTGGTCACACAGTGGTATGTGAAAATGAGAAAGGTTCAGATAGTGTCTGATCACAGTTATCAATTTCTTTTAATCTTAGGAACATTGCTGAATTACATTCTGTTCTTTTACTGTCTACTGAGAAGAAGCAAGTCCATCATTTTATTTCACAATGTGTTATTTTCCAGGTAGGAAAAAAAAACCCTACTTAGCATATTTAAAACTCAGCAGCTCAAGTTCTGACTAGGTCGCTTTTTTAAAAATTTAATGCCATTTTGAAATTCTTTCATTGGTTTTCGGGTGAATTTCTTACTGGCTTCAGATTTTGCTCTTGGTCTTTAAAGATCACAAAGGTAAACTGTCCTTACATTTATGATCTCCTGATAAAAGCACCCCTAGTGACAAGTTCCAACCTCTAATACTGGTATCCTTTTGTTCCATGTATCTGTAATGCTCACTTCTGTCTTTTCTTACAATGCACTTAAAACTATGAAAATATCTTCACAATAAAATCAGGAATGTGAAGTTTCCATTTTCAAATCTCTTGTTTAAATTGGCATTCCTACAGATGATATATATACATCTTGATAATAGCATATTAATTCATTTTTTAATAAATACAGTATTTAAATCCTTCCCCTGAGCTTCTAGAGGACAACACTTAGAGATCTTCATGAAAGGCCCTTTATAATGCATAAGTATTGCTTCTTCTACAAGACTCTTCAATAGCTTTGCCACATGAAGATTACTGTCCCCTTTGCCTGAAATTGTTCCCAAAAAGCTACTAAGAGAGAGGCACTGTAATATAGAAGTCTAAAATACACCTTAATATATAATAATCTACAGTTTAGATGTTTGGATTAAAAGGTTGGTATATACTCTTTACCTACTCAGTAGCATTACACCTTTTCCCATTAGAAAGGTTTTCAGATGAGAAATAATGACTAAGGTCCATCTGCTCAGCTTAACAATAGTACTGTAACAATTAAAAAGGAATATATACTTTTCCTAAAAAGGGCCAAATCATATATCCAAATTCTTCTCAGCATTCATTTATAAACATTTCTTGAGTATTCCCAGATTTAAAAAATCTGACTAATATAATTATAAAGATTTGCAAAAAGCTCAGTATTAACATCAGTGTTGTACTGACTAAAGGAGAATACAGAAAAGGCAAGAATGTGTGTGACAACAACCTTTGACTTGTATTGTTTACTGCATCCGTCTTAGAAAACAGCTAGCAAGCACTAACTGAACAGTGGCCAAGGGGGAGTGATAAATTATTCCTCCACTATCTGACTGGCACAGCGAACAGTAGATCTGGACTGTCAACCTAAACGTCGAGCCTTTTTCCTGAGGGCACTCAGCAGTGCAAATCTCAGGGTACCCCGGAGGATATGAAGTGAAAGTTTCTTCAGGGAGAAAAAAAAATACAGGGCTAAGACATTCATTCAAAATTAAAAATACTTGCATAAATCAATATACAGATTCTTTGAAAATATGAAGTGAGAGATCTTAAGGAAGTCTCTTCACAGCAGTTCACAATTCTCCCTTTCCTTGAGAACACAATAATTCTAAAGTCCACTAAGATGTCATTAAGGAATGAGGTCTCAACAAGATGCAGCATCTGTGACATTGATCCTCTCCTTGCAATCTGCAGTGTTAATGTTTATAAAACAATTACAGATTAGTGTGTAGGATGTCTTATTTTTGGTGGTTTCAGGAGAAACTGAAGAAATAGTCTGTTTCAGAAATAAACAGTATGTGCTTAGTGTCTTAAACAAAATAATGAATCATTAAATACAAGTAGCTGCATTTCCAGTTTTTCCTAAGTCCATTTGAGATTCTTATTTTCCCTACTATCGTCCTTTTAATAGAACTTCTACATTTAAAAATATGCTACAGAAAGTTCAAATACTGCATCTGAAATTTCAGCTTACTGTTCTGGTATGTTGTACTTCCATAATAAGCATCTTCACAAATATATATAAGTATGTGTAACTGTCCTTTAAATCAAAAAGGTTGATTTCCATTGGCTGAAATCCAATGCTGAAAATCTACTGAACAGCACTACATGGTAAAATCCATGGCTTACCGGGAACTAAAATATGCAATTAGCGTTATTTCAAGTCTGGAAATGACGTTCAAGCTACAACAGAAAAATTGCCTCTGCTGATCCAGGTGACAATCAGATTGCTTGCATCAGCAAGTAAAAGGGCATAAGAAAGGATAGTTATGT